TCAGCTATATCGAAGGGGCCAAAGAAATGTATTTTCCTTCCTCTTCTTTTCTATCTTCCAGTTTCTCGCCCTGTCTTTGGCTCCATCTACACTGCCATATTATGCAGTTTCAGGATGAAGTTTGAACTGTTTTATATGGCAGTGTAGAGTCATATAATCCAGGTCAATGCAGTTAGACTGCATTATATGGCAGTGTAGATGGAATTTTAGTGTCACATCACCTTTGTGGACCACATGAAATAATACTGAGGATGGAAGATGGCCCCAGTCTATAAACTCCCTGCCCTCTGTTTATGTAAGTAAAGCTCCATGCAGTTCACACTTGAACAGTAATCTTCCAAGTGGACTAATCGACAATCTGTTAGAACCGAACATCAGCTTCTTTGCTCTCCACCATTAAAGATCTCAGACACTGATTCAACACTTCTGTTGCCAAAGCTGAATCATATGACAATGAGAAAACAGAACTGAGTGATGTCAGCACAATGATGACACCCACTAAAAACCTAAGCCAGAGCTCATAATCATATCCCATTTAATTAGAAGAACATATTTCAGTGACTGGGGCTCTGTGTGATGGGAAAAGTCTCATAACATCAATGCAAGCCTGTTTATGAGATCATAATAAGCAGAAATGGGGCATCTGTGGTCCACTAGATGTGCTGGAATACAGGTCCCATTAAATGTGCTGGTTTATTCGGATGGAAATAGACAAATGGTTTTTCATTCCTAATAGAGTTTTCTCTTTTGCTTCCATACAAGCACACATACTGCACTTGTGTCTATATGTATGTTTACATTCAACAGAGGTTGAAATATCAGCAGTCCAATGTGAAGGTTGAATAGCCAATTCACGCAAGAGGGAGATACACAAAGAAGAAAGGAAAGGAACAATAGCAGACAGAAAAAGGCAGCAATTTGTACAAAAGCACATGGGCTCGTTTCTATAGCTAGGGATAGAGAACAGAAATAATTAGTGTAATTTTACATTTCCAGGGCATATCACCTAGACTATTACTAGGTGACCTGATGTCTCTGCTGTCTGCTATTCTGAGGCTAATTAATGGAAAGTAGCATTTTATCTTTAATGCAGACCTGGACTGGGCATTGCTTTATACAAAGGATATATTCAGTGCTCTAACAACTTTTCAAATAGAGGACTTTTCTCTGCAAGGAAGGTCACATGGTCAATCTTGATCAGCACTGAGTTTTATCACGGAATGATAGGCCCTTCTGCACAAAGTGGGCTTCTCCCAATGTTGTCACTGCCACAGATACAGTCTCCCAAATTCCCAGGTTTGGCCAACCGATACTTGTCCCTGGAACTCCAGATTGAAATTCTAAGGTAAGATACTTTCTTTTAAAAAATAATTTTAAAAAAATCAACTATATCCTTCTTTAACTTCAAAAAATATATTGTCCTTTTAGGAAAACAACCTTTCTTATTAAACTCCTTCCCCTTCAAGTTACCCCTTCCTTTTCTAGCAAAGTCTAAAGAACGTCGCTCCTGACACGAAAAAAAAAAAACCCAGCATATCAAGGCAGAAAAATCACACAATATCAGCTTTGAATTGGGTTATCTGAGTCCACACTGCCATATATTCCAGTTCAAATCAAATAATGTAGGATTTTATCCAACTGTGTGGAAGGAGCCTAAGTAGTCTCTGAGGAATCTTAGGCCCCTACTTCACTGCCATATAAAATCCAGATTATCTGCTTTGAACTAGATTATATGCAGTGTAGACTCATAATCCAGTTCAAAGCAGATAGTATGGATTATCTGCTTTGATTATCTGAATTAGTTTAGAAGGGGTCTTAGACTGGATCTACATTTCCCTATATCACAGATCCGATCCACAATTATCTGGCAGTGTAGACTCATATAATCCAGTTCAAAGCAGATAATCTGGAATCAGATCCTGGCATATAGGGCAGTGTAGATCCAGCCTTACTCAAATGCTTACAATTCTATTGTTACCCATTGACACGGCAATCCAATACCACACATTCTTAACATTCACAATTCTTCAATAAAAATGCCATAAGAGAAATGGGGGGAAAATTAGCAGAGTCCAGGTCATGATCACCCTAAGGCATTTTGGTGACTGAGGCTGGATCTATACTGCCATATAATCCAGTTTAAAGCAGATAATCTGGATTTTATATGGCAGTGTAGATCCAGCCTCATATAATAGGGCTGGATCTGTGTTGTCGAAAAATGTTGTTCCTCTTCTTTATAGCCTTTATTCCTTATAAAGAAACTGCCAGGGCTGAAAGATGATGGGGAAATGGCTCAGATGTTGCCACCTGAGAAGTGGTGGTTTCACTGTTTTTCATTAGGGAGCCGGCCCAGATGCAGCCATGCTGAACTATTCCTAAATGTGGAAACTGTGAGTTGGGTATGCTCAATTGCACTCTGCGAAAGACTGGCATGCCAACCGAGAGTGACTAATGTGATTTATGGATACTTGGTTTACTTTTTAGCATACAAATGTTGAGTATCTCTTATCCGCAATGCTTGGGACCAGAGTGCTTTGGATTTGGGGTTCTTTGGGTTCCCGTATTTGCATATTTGCACACAAGGAGATGTCTTAGACATAAGACCCAAGTCTAAACCCAAAATTATAAACAGCCTCCAACTAAGTTTATGTAATATATATATATATATATATATATATAAATGAAGCACAAGTTTGTATACATGAAACCATCAGAAAGCAAAGGTCTTGTTATCTCAGGCCCTCTTGTGGATAATTTTGGATTTTGGGGTGTATTTTGGAATTCCGGGTAAGGGATGCTCAACCTGTATCAGTAGCAATGCATGGATTGTTAGACCTCTCTCAGAATAAGCGAAGTTTCAACTGAAAGGAGGAAATCATGAAAATAAACAAAATCTGGCTACGAGTATTTAAAAAATAAACTCCAAAATCAGGACAGTAAATAAAGAACAACACTCAGAAGACAGGGGGATTCCAGACTAGTTAACACCTCCCAACAAAGGATCCCCAGGCAGGAAGGAGCCAGGCTTTGAAGCTGCAAGGCTATTCAAGGCTAATCAAGCTCGCCAGCTGAAATATTTGCACTTGCCTCAAGCAGACTAGAGTTCTTTATCCAACCCTGGACATTATACAGATATATAAACCTCACTTGCCTAGTTTCCAACAGACCTCACAAGCTCTGAGGATGCCTGCCATAGACCCAAATAATGTGGGATTTTCTGCCTTGGTATTCTGGGATATAGAGCTGTGTGGAAGAGCACCGGGTTATCTGAGTCCACACTCAGTTAATGTGGGATTTCCTGCCTTGATATTCTGGGATATAGGGCTGTGTGGAAGGGCCCGGGTTATCTGAGTCCACACTCAGTTAATGTGGGATTTCCTGCCTTGATATTCTGGGATATAGGGCTGTGTGGAAGGGCCCCAGGTTATCCAAGTCCACACTCAGTTAATGTGGGATTTCCTGCCTTGATATTCTGGGATATAGGGCTGTGTGGAAGGGCCCCGAGTCCACACTCAGATAATGTGGGATTTCCTGCCTTGATATTCTGGGATATAGAGCTGTGTGGAAGGGCCCTGGGTTATCTCAGTCCACACTCAGATAATGTGGGATTTCCTGCCTTGATATTCTGGGATATAGAGCTGTGTGGAAGGGCCCGGGTTATCTGAATCCACATCCAGTTAATGTGGGATTTCCTGCCTTGATATTCTGGGATATAGGGCTGTGTGGAAGGGCCCCAGGTTATCTGAGTCCACACTCTGTTAATGTGGGATTTCCTGCCTTGATATTATGGGATATAGGGCTGTGTGGAAGGTCCCAGGTTATCCGAGTCCACACTCAGATAATGTGGGATTTCCTGCCTTGGTATTCTGGGTTATAAGGCTGTGTGGAAGGGTCCCCGGTTATCTGAGTCCACACTCACTTAATGTGGGATTTCCTGCCTTGGTATTCTCGGATATAGGGCTGTGTGGAAGGCCCTGGGTTATCTGAGTCCACACTCAATAAATGTGGGATTCACTGTCTTGATATTCTGGTATATAGGGCTGTGTGGAAGAGCCCCAGGCTGTGTGGAAGGGCCCCAGGTTATCTGAGTCCACACTCAGTCAATGTGATTTCCTGCCTTGATATTCTGGGATATAGGGCTGTGTGGAAGGGCCCCAGGTTATCTGAGTCCACACTCAGTTAATGTGGGATTTCCTGCCTTGGTATTCTGGGATATAGGGCTGTGTGGAAGGGCCCTGGGTTATCTGAGTCCACACTCAGTAAATGTGGGATTCACTGTCTTGATATTCTGGTATATAGGGCTGTGTGGAAGAGCCCCAGGCTGTGTGGAAGGGCCCCAGGTTATCTGAGTCCACACTCAGTCAATGTGATTTCCTGCCTTGATATTCTGGGATATAGGTCTGTGTGGAAGGGCCCCAGGTTATCTGAGTCCACACTCAGTTAATGTGGGATTTCCTGCCTTGATATTCTGGGATATAGGTCTGTGTGGAAGGGCCCCGGGTTATCAGAGTCCACATTCAGTTAATGTGGGATTTCCTGCCTTGATATTCTGGGATATAGGGTTGGCATTTGCCTTCCAAAGGCATTTAGAACTGGGGGATATATGTTGAAAGCCACCCTGAAGTGTTTGTAGTTTAATAAACTTTGTCCATGTTTTTATGATAGGACCAATTAGGAAATGGCATTGATAACTCAGGCACTGAAACCGTGTTATGTAGCGTTGTGATTATTATTATTATTATTATGTGTTTAAAAGGCAAACGACTTTTCCACAAAGGGGAGAGAATCCCACTGCCTCAGTCACAAGAGCTGGGAGCAAGCGCCCAACGGTCTTCCTGAGGCGCGCGCGAGGCGAGAAAAGAGGGTGCGCGAGCGAGCGAGGGAGAAACAAAGGGGCGTGGCTGGGAGAGAGAGAGAGAGAGAGAGAAAGGGAAGGAGGGAGGGGAGAAGCCGGAGGGGGGAGTTGGACGCCCCCCTCCCTCCCTCCCAGCGCGCGCGGCATCCGAGGTTGGATGTGTCGCGCGCCGCCCGCGCTTCCTTTCTCACTCCTCGCCTGGCTTTGGAAGAGGTCAGTCAGTGAGTCGGTCCGTCGGGAGGGACGCTCGCTGCTGGCGTCATGAAAGCCTCCTGGGCTCTCGAAGTGGCCTGGCTGGCGGCGCTTCTGGGCTGCCCGGCAACAGGTGGGTGAGCGGGGTGAAGCGGAATAGGACGGGAGGGGGGCGTGTGTTAGGGCACCTGAAGCAAAGGCTCCTTCAGCGCCGCCTCGCTCGCTTCTTTTCCCCGGTCCGGCTTGAGTTAGGCGCTCCACGCCTTCCTCGGTGCCGCTTCCAAAGGCTTGGCTTTGAAGTTGCATCCCAAGAGCTGGAAGCGTCCCTGAGGCGCGCGCGAGGGAGCCAGGAATTGATTATTATTGATTATAATATACTAGCCGTCCCCTGCCATGCATTGCTGTGGCTCAATCTGCATCCCCCGGTGGTGCAGTGGGTTAAACCCCTGTGCCGTCAGGACTGAAGACCCGACAACTCAGAGGTTCAAATCCGTAGAGATCTCGGATGAGCTCCCTCTGTCAGCTCCAGCTCCCTATACGGGGACATGAGAGAAGCCTATCACAAGGATGATAAAACATCAAACACATCCGGGCATCCCCTGGGCAACGTCCTTGCAGACGGCCAATTCTCTCACAAATCTGGGGAGAGCACGAATGAGCTCCCTCTGTCAGCTCCAGCTCCCTATTCGGTAACATGAGAGAAGCCTCCCACATGGATGATAAAACATCAAACACATCCGGGCGTCCCCTGGTTAACGTCCTTGCAGACGGCCAATTCTCTCACACCAGAAGCGACTTGCAGTTTCTCAAGTCGCTCCTGACACGACCAAAAATAAAACAAGTCTGGTGATCTGGAAAATAAAGTAATGAGAAAGTGTTGGTTTCTAATATATGTAGTTTCTTTACGCTTGTTGTTTCTTTGTCAGTGTTGATGTGGAGATTGTCTGGTTTGCCTACTTTGGAACATGCAACATATAATTGTCTTTCTTTAGGGGTCCCTTTCAAAACTATGATACTATATGAGTCATATACATATATGTGTGTGTGTGAATCATGTAAATCTGTGTATATCTATGGCTGGATTGTCCTTCTTTAGTGGTCCTTTTCAAATCTGTGACACTATATCTGTCATCTACATATGTGTGTGTGTGTGTGTTTGAATCATATTTATCTATATCTATGGCTGGATGGTCTTAAGTCAGTGTTTCTCAACCTGAGAGTCGGGATTCCTGGAGGAGTTGTGAGAGGGTGTCAGAAGGGTCGCCAAAGACCACCAGAAAACACAGTATTGTCAGTTCTGTGTGGGAAATTTGGCCCAATTCTATCATTTGTGGGGTTCAGAATGCTCTTTGATTGTAGGTGAACACAGTAACTACAACTCCCAAATGTCAAGGTCTATTTACCCCAAACTCCCATCTGTGTTCATATTTGGGCATATGGACTATCCGTGCCAAGTTTGGTCCTGATCTGTCATTGTTTGAGTCCACAGTGCTCACTGGATGTAGGTGAACTACAATTCCCAAACTCAAGGTCAATGCCCACCAAACCCTTGTAGTGTTTTCTGTTGATCGTGGGAGTTCTGTGCGCCAAGTTTGGTTCAATTCCATCATTGGTGGTGTTCAGAATGCTCTTTGATTGTAGGTTAACTATAAATCCCAGCAACTACAACTCCCAAATGACAAAATTAATTTTTTTGAGTGATGGTCACTCCTTGGGTTAGTAGGTGTCTTGTGGCCAAATTTGGTGGCAATTAGTCCAGCGGTTTTTGAGTTATGTCACTCAAAATGAACAGCATTTTTATATATATAGATGATCATAGGTATAGGCAAACTTGGGCCCTCCAGGAGTTTTGGACTCCAACTCCCACAATTCCTAACAGCCTACCGGCTGTTAGGAATTGTGGGAGTTGGAGTCCAAAACCCCTGGAGGGCCCAAGTTTGCCCATACCTGTATTATCCTCATCCTCATCATTATCTGTGTCGTGGGGTGCATCTCCACTGCAGATTTCAAGCACCTTGACTCCACTTGCACTGCCCTGGCTCAATGCTATGGAGTCCGGAGTGTTTGTTAGTTTTGCAAGGTCTTGAGCTTGCTTTGCCCAAACGTGCAGGTGCCTCAGTACACTACAAATTCCAGGATTCCATTGCAGTTGAATAGGTATCACGGCATTCAGAGATGCTTGCACAGACACACCCATTTTCCCAAAGCAGGGAAATAACATAATCTCCAGTTCTAAATGCATTGGAAAGGGAAAACCCAATTTCTTTTGGCAGAAGTGAAGCTGACATCCCAGGCTTTTGCATGCTTTGCCAAGTCAGTCAGTTTCTGTGTCCTTCAGTCAGCTGCATTTGCTCTCAAAGAAGTGCCTAAGTTTGCAATCCGGATCCTGCTATATTTAAGTAACTTCATATACTGCTGCAGTTGTGTGTAGTCAGGAAAAGTTGGTAAGGGCACCATTCCATGTATGTCTACGTAAATATAAGAAGGGTCTTATTAGCAAGCAATTGGTAGGCTGTGGATTTGTGAAAACGTGGCTTTGGGATCAAGCCTTCGGAGAATAATTGCAGATCAATAACAGAAATATGGAACATGTGCAATGAATTCTGGAATGGCCCCAGACTACCATTGTGGATGGCATTATTTTAATAACCCTTGAAATATTTAATATGTGTTAATTTTTAATTTCATTGTTTATTTAAATTGTATGTTGTTTTAAGGCATTGAATAGTTGCCTCTATGTAAGCTGCCTTGAGTCCCCTTCTGCATTGAGAAAGGGGGAGGATAAATATGGTGTAAATAAATAAATATGCTGTTGTTCTGTAGCCACCCCCTTGGGAAAAAGCACCACTGAATTCAATGAGATGTAATTTATGGGAGATGGGTGTGTCATTGTTCCGCTTGGTTAGACTTACTAAATTAAGGTAAATGAGACTATTAGGCTGTCCTGATTGGAGAAAACCCAGGATATGGAACAGATTCCAAGCATTGTTTTGTAGGTTTATATAAAGGTAAAGGTTTCCCCTTGATATTAAGTCTAGTTGAGGCCCGACTCTCGGAGGTGGTGCTCATCTCCATTTCTAAGCTGAAGAGCTGGTGTTGTCCATAGACACCTCCAAGGTCATGTGGCCGGCATGATTGCGTGGAGTGCCCTTACTTTCCTGCCGGAGCGGTACCTATTGATCTATTCATATTTGCATGTTTTCGAACTGCTAGGTTTGCAGAAGCTGGGGCTAACAGTGGGAGCTCACCCCGCTCCATGGATTTGAACCACCAACCTTTCAGTTAGCAAGTTCAGCCGCTCAGCCGTTTAACCCACTGCATCACCAGGAACTATATAGCATAGCAAAAAACCAAACACAGGTGTACTGTCAAAAAAAGACTGAGAAAAGATAGAAAAGCATGGTGTAATTGCTTTTAAACATTTTTCCATGGTAGGTTTTCATGGCAGCCACCCCCCCCCCCCCAATATTAATAAAATATGCATTGGATGTTGTAAGCTGTCTTGCATTGATTCACACCATTGCTGTTGCTTTCCAGCCCAAATGTAGCCAGCCATGTGCATTGATCATCAGAAAAAGCAAATTCCAGTTTTTGGCACTCTATTTGCAAATAAGATGTTTTGAAATCTGCTAGTTATGCCAGAAATGCAGCAGTTGTGTATATATCCAAGGATACTTTTGATATAGACAAGATATATATTGTATATATCTTGTTTAACCCATTGCCCGGTGGCACACAGGACTGCTTTGCGCAGGACTGCTGACCAAAAGGTTGGCGGTTCGAATCTGGGGAGCAGGGTGAGCTCCCATTTGTCAGCTCCAGCTTCCCATGCAGGGACAGGGAAAAAAGCCTCCCACAAGATGGTAACACATCCTGGTGTCCCCTGGGTAATGCCCTTGTAGACAGCCAGTTTCTCACACTGGAAGCGACTTGCAGTTTTTCAAGTCACTTCTGACACACACACAATAACTGACTGTACTCTCCTGGGGCCTGCTGCTACTGCACACAGTTTTGAAGGAACTCCTTTTTGGCTTTACCTGGGGAAAGTTTATCCCTTTCTCGCTTGCCACACTGTGATTCCTCCCAGTTACCTTCAAATCACCTTACAGTAAGAGCCACTTCACCCAAAGAAAGGCTCCAGTGTGGTTACTACAGTAAGTTATCTTAAGGATCAGTATATATAAACAAGCGTGCCTTTTTAGAATAGATTTTCCTCTCATTAATACATGTTTGATGTCACTCAAAGCACCTGAATTTCATTCATTCTGCAGTGTAGGGATGGAAAGAGTATTTTAAAACATTCAAAAATATGTTCCAAAAATATGTGCCTGAATTGTTGGAAAGCTCAGGCATGGAGGGACCTGGACTGGCAAGAATCTTCACAGTTTGGGCTTTACTCTGTGGAAAATATGCACATTTTGGTGCAGAAAACAGCTTAGTGGGTTGCTGTGAGTTTTCCGGACTGTATGGCCATGTTCCAGAAGCATTCTCTCTTGATGTTTCATCCTCGTCTATGGCAGGTTGTGAGGTCTGTTGGAAACTAGGCAGATGGAGTTTATAGATCTGTGGAATGTCCAGAGTGGGAGAAAGAACTCTTGTCTGCCTGAGGCAAGTGCAAATGTTTCAACTGGCGAGCTTGATTAGCCTTGAATAGCCTTGCAGCTTCAAAGCCTGGCTGCTTCCTGCCTGGGGATCCTTTGTTGGGAGGTGTTAACTGGCCCTGATTGTTTCTTGTCTAGAATTCCCCTGTCTTCTGAGTGTTGTTCTTTATTTACTGTCCTGATTTTGGAGTTTATTTTTTAGATACTAGTAGCCAGATTTTGTTCATTTTCATGGTTTCCTCCTTTCTGTTGAAATTGTCCACATGCTTGTGGATTTCAGTGACTTCTCTGTTTAGTCTGACTTGGTGGTTGCTAGAGTGGTCCAGCATTTCTGTGTTCTCAAATAATACTCTGTGTCCAGGTTGGTTCATCAGGTGCTCTGCTATGGCTGGCTGTTCTGGTTGAGTTAGTCTGGGGTGTCTTTCATGTTCCTTAATTCGTGTTTGGGCAATGCTGTGTTTGATGGTCCCTATGTAGACTTGTCCACAGCTGCATGGCATACAGTAGCTTACTGTTTCTAGGCAAAAAATGC